GATAGCATAATTAGTGTAATTAGCATATAGAGAAAAGTATATAAGTAATGTGTTGGTAATGTAAGAAAAACAAGTCTTACAGGTCTTGCAGTGTAGTAAATAAAGATACACTTACCCTTAGTACTCGCCCAAATTCCACACCTCTTTTGAGTACTAATTCATCCGACATTACATGAAAGACGTTCATCTACCCTATGAATAGGGAGTTTTAGAGTCTACAATTTCCATAGTACGACACTGAATAAAATTCCAGACATTTGCAAAAAGTGAAAGTGTACATAAATCTGATAAGTGGCCAGGATAATGGTTTGTATATTTATAGTAATATCACAAGACTACAGTAAAAGAATTAATAGGAAGAGTAATATGAATGAAACTCTTACAATACATTTTTTGGATTTTTTTTGCACAAATCAAGATTTTTTATTTGGATTCTCTCCTGTGATACTTTCATATGTTCTATAACAGTGGCAAAACCACTGCTCTGTCCATTAATTTTTTTTTACCACTGCACCACTTGCTTTGATGATCATGCCAAATGTAACTTAAACTTGCCTTTTTCAGACTTTAATCTATATTATGTAGTCACTTTCTGGAAGTAAAAAGGTCTTTACTCTTTCTGTGTTTAATGTTCCTTCTGATACCAAATTGTCATCATCTACCACTTTCCATATGTGACCAACACCATCTGTCATATCTAAAATAGAATTAAGTATATAATTTATATTATTATCATTTAAATTCATGTTTATTTTTTGGATTTCCTTATCAAGATTAAAAAATTTATTAATATCAGGTGGTGTCGATATGATGTGCTGTTTTAATAATAAATACATCTATAATTTTAACATTAATAGCAAACTTTTACATGAAATATTACTTTTCTCAAAACACAAACTAACTACAAGAAAAATGTTAATATATTTGTGAATCCTAATTATTAAGAGGCAAAAATTCAGAATGAAAGCTCTTTATTACATGACAGTAGAATGAAAGTAAAATGTGACAGTGGAGTAAAAGCAATTTACTATTATATGAACAAAAAAAAACTCAATATATTAACTGTTTTATGATTAGGATAGATATGTTAAAAAAAAGGTATCTTTATTATTATGACAAATAAATTTTAAATATAAAAAAGTGACTGTCTAAGAAACTTTATTTAAGAGTAATTGGTCAAATAATAACATCAATTTAAGTAACAATCAAATGATCAATAATGATATTAATTTAAGTAATGCTTTAATAACGATTATGCTGAAGCCACCCGATAAGTGGTATAATGATTTTGTTCAATCAGAGATAGGAAGATCGTTATCCAATCAGATGGTGGGGGGTAAATAAGTAAAACTATTTCAATTAAGCCAAAGCAATAGAAAAAACTCTAATTGCAAAAATTATACTTATTTCTATTTATTTGAGTTATCTGACTAACTACATTTTAATTCTAATATCTGTTTACTTATTGGTTATACTATTTATAAAATCAACGTCTGGACTATTCTTTAAATTAAATACAATATTTCTTATAACTATATTCTAAACTTACAAATCTAGATGAGTCTTGACTGCTCTAGTAAGTTTAGGTTACAAATAAATATGTCTAAGCTTTTATTCTTGAATGTAGTTTTTCTTCTATTTGTACTTAGAGCAATAGTTATATAGTTAGCAGTTTAATAGTTTAGTTTTAACTGAAGTGTTGGTTTTAGCTATAGCATTTATATAAAAATTACTTTTTGTACATAGCAGCTTCATGTAGCTACTAACTTTTAAACTACCAATAAAAATATGAACAAAGCCTTATCTTAATATCAAAAAAAAATAAATTTAAAAATATCCAATTCATTCTTAATCATTGAGAGTTCAACTTTCTCCTGTAGATCATCAAAACAAACAAAATTGACAAAAAACTAAAAATAATACTACAAGTACCCTTCGATAATATAACTTTTCTTAAAGAGATTAGATCTAACATTGTTAGACTTAGTATTACCAAAAATCCAAACCACAAGTGGCTTAATTTGTTCTGGTTTCTAGTGCAAAGTTGGCAACCTGAATAAAGAATAATCAAATTTTGTTTTTTTTTTTTTATTTATTTACGATCTGTACAAACTAATCAACTTGGCTAGTTCTCCTTAAAAGTACTAAAAAGGCTATAGATTTTATCTATTCAACGTGGTTTTCCTTTAATTTAATATAAAAATTACTTTTACCAAAACTAAATTATTCGGAAAACTGCAATTCAGTTACTGGAAAAAAATTTTTTTTTTTTTTCTGTTTTTTTTTCTGGCAAAAGTGGGGCATCACTCTATCCCAGAAAAATCATGAAGTACACGTGACCAATCAAATTAGTAAACAACAAAACAAACAAGCAGCCACGTTCCAGATATAGAAATATACAACAAACGGCATAAAAAATCAACAAACAGCAAGTCATGTACAAAACTAAATTAGGGAATAGATAGTCAAACAACAAAAATACAAAAATAGATCAAATGAATAAAGTAATCAAATAAAGATAATTAACAAACAAAGCCTAATCCAGCAAGTTCAAGAAACGGGTAACAAACTGCATAGATATTTAAACTGCAGTGAATTAAATTGCATCCTAGAAACATCTATGACTAAAGAACCAAGTGACTTAGAAACTATAGCAAAAAACTTAGCTCTTGGTGATCCTCAAAAAATTATAACTAAAAAACTTTTACTATACAGTCAAATACTCGAAGCCTTGATATATGTATCAGAAGAAACAAAAACAGTATCAAAGAAAACTATTGAGGAGTGGGCTAGTAAAATTAAGATAGCAAGTCAAAACCTAGATTCTGTCGATTACATGTTAAGTTTAAGCAAAGAAGAAACAAAAAAAAGAAATGAACAAGATGGAGAGGATTAAAAAAATTAATAAAAATGAAGGAAATTATTCCAGTGCAATATCAAAGAAAAGACGACAAATAAAAGATACAATAATAACAGATATTAAAGTAAACAAGGGCACTAAGCAAATAGAAATGTTAAACACAAGAAAATACCAAGTAACAGCACAACAAACAGAACTAACAGACAGAAACAAGAAGCTACTAATAACTAAAAACAACTATATAGAAGTGCCAGATAGAGAAGAGCACAAGAAGAGCCTGGAAACCCCAAAAGAAATTATAACCCAAAGCAGCAAAGAGACAATGAAGCAAAAAGAGTTAGAAATTAAACTAGCAGCAACTCAGTTAGAAGACAGCCTTTGGTCACCAGAAAACAGAATTTGCGACAAGAATTCCACCTTTAAAGCAAAAATTCCATCCTTCAAGGTTCCAGGAGAAACTAATGAATATCGAGTCAACTATATAAAGTGAGTTCTTAGAGGAAATGAACATATCAAGACAATTGAAGAGGAATTTCAAAATAGTAATAGCTAGTTAGTTGTCGATTTTGACTGTGAATACAGCAGAAGAACATTAAGTGAATGCATTAAAGAAAAAGAGTGAAATTGGTGCAATCTTATTCCAGAAGAGGTTAAAATTGCAGAGAAAAAACCCAACACACACTATAAAGAAAGTAAAGAAGTAATAAAACCAAAATTTAAAGAAAGATATCGAGTGGCCTTAAGTTCACAAAAAGAAGAATAAACTTACATCTTAAGGAAAAAGTAGGAAAGCCTAGTACAAGCAAAAAGGAAAAAGAGAAGATTAAAATTATAAGATATCTGACAATTTGGGACTTGCCAGTAAATGTCAAATATGAAGAAATAGAGTATATGTGCAGAAGCCTTGGCAATATATATATAGTAAAAGTTAAAAAATCGAAATTTAAGACATTGGCAGTAATAGAGGTTACTAGCTGTAACAATGAATATACCCCATAGTCATTACCATTAGATAATAACAAGTTAGTCTGAGTAACTCAAAGAGAAGAGAATTATGAACAAAGAAATAAACAAATTCTATATACAGCCAAATTACTAGAGCTTCCTAAAGAAGCTTCAGAGGTGTTGCTTCTGTAAAGTTTAAAAAGTAAAGGTGCAAAATCAGTATATATTCCTATAAACAGGAATGGTAACTCCAGAAGATTTGCAATAATTACATTTGCAAATCAAGAAGAATTAGAAGCAGTGCAGTCTAAACTAATAAGGTACAACAACCATATAGTTTTTTAAGAAAACTATAGGGTTAAAAGGAAAAGAGAGGAAATAAAAACAACTAACAGAAATTATGATGATGGAAAAAAAGAAAACAATATGCAAAAAAGAGAATACAAAGATAAAAAAAGAAGGAAAAAAATAAGAAATCAAAAGGAGAAAAACAAAAGTGCACAAAAAGATGCTATAGAAACATCTATAGAAAGATTATTGTTAAGGATACTTAGCAGACTCGACAAATTAGAAGTGCAGAAAGAGGAAAGCAGCAAACTACTCCTAATAGTTGCTAAAGTTAACTTGAAGTTAACAGATATAGAGATGTGCTCCTCTTCACAA